GTGACTGCTTTTCCCACCATGCTACTGTGCATATGGCTTCTAAAAGAGCTCATGATGAGAGTATTTATTTCCTTGTCTTTTACCATCAAAAATGTCAGGGATGTCAGCGGAGCTCAACAAACAGGGATTCAGATTGCTGTCTGCAGAGACGAGCCTATTTTCACTAGATAGCTACAGAAATTTTTAATATACTTCTCTGTGGGAAGGGGAAACTATTCAGGAACCTCATTGTGTACCAGCACAGCATCACTTCATGTGTTTTGCTTACCCTAAGATATCATGATATCAGGAAGTAGTGCTGGTCCTTAAATTTAATATACCTACAAGATTCAAGATTCATCTTGACAGTGGTTGCCATGTAATGAAAGTTTAATGCAATGAAAGTAGCCTGCAGAAAAAAATTAGCCAAATTTTCAATTCTAATTTTGATCAGGTTTCATGTTATCAAGAGAAGCGTGGGTGTGAGTGAAGGCTACCTTAATTTAAATAAGTGTATTTCTATTATGAAGGGGTTTACTGGCATAAAGGACAGGTCTTCAAAAATGCAAACATATTGGAAAGAAAAGGTAGTCTTTCCTGAGTAATAATTCCATAATGATGGAAATAACAAACATGAGAGAGAGTTTCTTTAATTTCTTCACTTTATAGATAAGCAGAATGAGGCACAGAGAACTTGAAGATAATGACCTAACATAAGAAAGGACTGAAATAAAGCCAGGCCCAGAACCCATACCCAGGATTCCAAATCTGTACCGCTGACACCGCCTTTAGAGGGAAATGAACTCATAAAGAGTAAGCCCACTTCCTGGAGTCCTCATGGGATGCTGTAGGATAAGCACTGGACTGTTTATCAAACCCTCCAGTGGCTCCTTGTAAACGTATTAGAGGGTCAATTCACTATGAGTCAGAAATGACTTGATGGTACTTAACAACAACAAAAATCAGAACCAACCCATTTCTCATAACACAAACCTCTGAAATCAAACCAGTTTTCTCTGCTGGTCTTTAAAAACTGGACCAGTAGACATCAGTTACCATTACATTGATTCTGACTCATGGACACCCCAGTAGAATTATTAGCTATAGGGCTCCAGTGGCTGATTCTGTTGGCAATAGATTACCAGGCATTTCTTTCATGGAACCGCTGGGGAGACTTGAACCTCCAACCCTTTAGTTAGCAGCTGAGCATGTTAACTGTTTGTATCACCCAGAGACCAGATTTCTAACAATCCCATGTCCTTGGTTCAGACCTGGAGAAGTGTCTGCTTTTCCTTTACAGATATCTTGCTTGAAGGGCAAACCTTTGACTGAATTGCCTAATTGTTATTCTGTGCTAGAAATTCCAGCTGGGATATTAGATGAGATAAGAAACAAGTTACAACTTTCAAATACAGGGCAAAAAATTAAAGGGTGTTTTCCTATTTTAAGTTTTAAAAAACGTTGGCTTTTAAACTCCTGTTTAAAGCTAAAGAAATAAAGGTAGACAATAATGAGGATTTGTTGGTGTTGTTAAGTGCCGTCGAGTCAGTTCTGATTCATAGCGACCCTGCATAGGGTTTCACAGGAGTGATGGATACGTTTGAACCACCAACCTTGAAGTTCAAAGTGACCTTGTGGTCTACTGCTTGATCCTACAGCACCACACCAGGACTCTAGTAATGAGGATATAAGTTATAAAACTAAACGTTTGCCTCTTAATTTCTAAGAGGCAAACTATTCAATTTTGTCGTCACAATCCTTGGTACAATCTTAATAAATATCACTGGGTTAATCCACTGGACTGCAAAGTTGGTTTGAACCTCAAGGTCGGCAATTCAAGCTCACCAGCTGCTCCTCGGAAACCCTATACAACAATTCAAGCTCACCAGCTGCTCCTCAGAAACCCTATAGCTGCCTAGTCTGCAGCTAACCACGGGGATGGTGCAGCACCAAGCAGTGTTCCTTTCTGTTTTGCATGGGGTGTCACCAGTCAGGTACTGACTCAACATTAACAACAACGAAGGAAGCCTCTACGTGATTGAGCCTATTTTGGACAGCCATCTTCATAACTTCATAGTTTAGAGATTGCTATTCATTTTAGCAGACACTACTAAGAAACTCTGGTAGCGTAGTGGTTACGAATCGGACTGCTAACCTCAAGGTCAGTTCAAAACTACCAGCTGTTCCGTGGGAGAAAGATGAGGCTTTCTGCTCCCGTTAAGATTTTTAGCGTCGGGAACCCTGTACAGGGTCGCTATGAGTCTGAACCGACTCCACAGCACATAACAACAACAACAATGATGGTCAAAATGAGCTCTGGAAGTGTAGTGGTTATGAAACGGGCTGCTATCCTCAGGGTCAGCAGTTCGAAACTACCGGCTGTTCCTGTGGGAGAAAGAAGAGGTTTTCTGCTCTCATTAAGATTTACAGCCTCGGAAACCCTGCACAGGGTCGCTATGAGTCGGAACCGACTCCACGGCACACAGCCACCACCACAGCCAATAATTACTTGCACAACGTCTCTCCACATGCTTCCTTACTGACATAGTTAAGTTTTTTTTTTTTTTTTCCAGATACATGATGTATCTGTTTTAAAATGCTTGATTTCTCAGTCTCTCTTGCCACTCAGAGTGATCAATGAAATGTAGGCAGTACCGCATCTTCTTACTTCTTCCCTTCTGGATAGCAAATGCAATGCCTTAACCATGTTGTTGTTGCTAAATGCTGTTAAGTTGGTTTCAACCCACAGTGACCCTGTATAGGATTTCTGAGGAGTACCTGGTGGGTTTGAATCACCAACCTTTTGGTTAGCAATCCAGTGTTTATCCTACAGCACCACACCAGGACTCCACATTAGCCATTATTGTTGTATGCTACTGAGTCAGTTTTGACTCATAGTGACTCTGTATAGGGTTTCGGGGGAGCAACTGGCGGGTTTGAACCACTTATCCTGTGGTTCACAGTCTAGTGCTTATTCTACAGTGTCACACTAGGATTACATGCTAAAGACCCCAGAGAAGTATACAAGAAAAGTATGGGTCCCCGAAGACACCTCAAGAAGTTTTTGTCAGCTTTATACAGCTTGTCTTTGAAAATCTAGACTGTGAGAACCACAGACTCCAATATGTTTAAGCAGGATTAGCTGGGGTTGTCGTTATTTGTAGGCCAATGCATTCATTTCTAAATGAATGATATAGTCATTAAGAGTTTTCACTAAGTGGTCCTGGATTCTATGGTGAAGAGGAGATTTTTGGTTCTGGTCCTTCTCAGACTAACATAAAGATGAAATGAGTGATCTATGAGTAGATGCATGGATAGACACACAGGATGAATAGGTATGGGAGGGAGAGGGGAAGTATACCCACAAATATCCTCAGTTTGGCTGAGGATACTTGCTGCAAACAGCAATATTTGGAGCATCCAGGAGGCAAAATGATGAAAACTTCTTAGACATTCCCAAACACCTTGAGTCAACGACTTGCTGTATCTGGGGGCTCAAGACCATAGTCTAAGGGGACACCATGGTCAACTATATAACATAGTCCACAAGACACTGTTCTACATCCTACTCTGGTGAATAATGACGAGGATCTAAAAAGTTCATGTGTAACCATGTAAGGTGCCATTATTGATCTCTCCATGTTTTTAAAAAAGAATGATGAAAACTGAAGATGCTTGCAATCAATCAATCCAATGGTCCCATGGAACATGTGAACATCAGTTTTCAAGAATCTTAGACCAGAAGAACTACATGGTGCCCAGCTACCAAAACCAACTGCTCTGAAAGGGATCACATTAGAAGGTCCCAGATAGAGTGGGAGACAATGTAAAACAAAACTCAAAATTATAAAGAAAGACCAGGCTTATTGATCAGAAAGACACTAGAGGAACCCAAGACTGTGGCCCTTGACCACCCTTCAGATTTGGAATGGAACTCACCCCCATGGCCCAATTTTCAACCAAGCAGTAGATGGGTATTTGGGGCAGACAACACTAGTAAGGTATTCTCACCATGGAATGGTCAACCATTCAAGATGAAAGGGAAAACACCTAAGGATAAAGTTCAGAAGGGTGAGGAAAGAGGGCGAAATGGAGATAAAAACCACAGGGAGAAAGCAGGGTGACTCTGTTACATGGAGGGGATTACAGTCATTGAGCTGAATCAAAGCGTATAATTTGTTGAATGCAGAGCTGGTGAGCTGCTCTGTAAACCTTCATGCATTTCACAGTAAAATGTTTAAAAGAAAAACAGGTTAAATGAAGCAGGACCATCTTTGTTTTTATTTTAATTATGGTAAAATATGAGGGGGTTTCAAAAAGTTCATGGAAAAATTCCATCATCGAATAACTCCCATTTTCCCATGAACATACTAAACCCCCCTTGTGCAACATGACACCTTTCAGTGGTAATCATTACACTCAAGCGTACGCAGTGGCTCCATGCGATAAACAAGGTCAACGGTTCAAACACATCAGTCACTCCAAGGAAGAAACATGCAGCTTTCTGCTCCCACAATGATTTAAAGCCTCGGAAACCCTATACAGGGTCCCTGTGAGTTGAAACCAACTCACCATCACTTAATGGCAACAATTATATTCACAAGATTTTACAGCTATTGGCATTGCCTATTCCCAGACTTGATTTTTAATTCCCACATAGAAATTCTGAGGGTCATTTTTTAACCCAATAAAGTTGTTAAGACTTACTAGGGAGCAGTTCTCTTCTGTCTTGTAAGGTAACTATGAGTCAGATCAATTCAATGACAGTGGCTTTAGCTGTACAGCCTTAAGAAATAACCGGATTCTGACTTTGATGGACTCAGATGCCTTGTGCCACGTAAACAGCAGCAGAATGGAACGTTTACACAATCTGATATTTTCCTATCCACAGTGGTTCTTCCTCTACACGAATGACTTTGAAAATCGCTACACATGACATTGCCCTAGCAGTTGGTGTCAAGAAGGAGAACATTCAGCAAGAAAAACAGCCATCAGTGAACTGTGTGCAAACCAGTGATTACCTCCAGCATGGGGTGGGGGGCCACACAGTAGCACCATCCCTTGGCCTTGACGGACGGACACAGTGCTTCGAGTCTTTGTTTTAAAGTTTTCAAGATCTGTTGGGAGAAACAAAGGGAAAGGGGTTTACACATTAAACTCCTAAAATGTTAGGGAATAATATCATTATTTCAGAAGAAGACAGCTGTGTGCTGATAAAAAACTTTTGCAGCACCTTTTTAGTATTGACCCCTTCTTTCTTAAACGGCTCTGTTTAAGTTGCCACGTGTGGCTATTCAAGTTTAAATTAATGTGTTATTTTTAAATTAAAAATCTGTTCTTCATTCATGTAGCCATATTTCAAGTGCTCAGTGGATACACATGGCTTATAGCTACTGTACTGGACAGTACACATGTAGAACATTTCCATCATCCAAAATTCTATTGGACAGTCCAGGTCTAAATGAAGAAACTGAGGTTGAAATATGGGAAGTGATCTGCAGAAGAGCTGTCTGTAATTAAGTACAGTTGTTGTTGTTAAGTGCTGTCGAGTCACTTCTGACTCATAATCACGATGCAAATTCATGTTTCCTGACATTTTACAAACCAGTCTATTAAATGCCATTCTATTTCTCTCTATATGAATAGGATATTATGCTGTCTGTCTTCTTTGAACTCAGCAGTGATGTTTCAGATGGAACAGACTTCGGCATATTCAATGGGCATCAGGTGAAGCTAGAACAGGATTCTTTTTCTCATTAAGAAAATGGTCTGTGAAGCATTCGGAGGGTAGATAATGAGAGATTTAAAAAAACAAAAACAAAACTTTATTGCAGAATTCAAAATTTAAACCATTATTCCTCAAGTTAACACTGAACCAGACTTGACTGTCACTTGTTTTGTATACTGGTTCTTACTGTAAGTCTTCTATGTTTTGGCAAAGGTTTCCAGTTCAATCTCCAGAGTTGCATGAAAGACTAAAAGCTGACAAACAACAGAATTTAAGTCTTAACTGGGGGAACCCAACCTCAGTTTCTGACTATTAGAAGAACAGAAAAAAAAAAAGGACAGTGAAATTAAGTCTATGAAATGTGTTCTCTTGTTCCAGGCCTCTGTTTCTTCCTTTTAAAGTTTATGAATGTATTCAATTCTACAGGATTTGGAAATTAAGAATATGTAACATGAATGTGATGTTTCATATTACAAACGTTTATTTGGTTGTTGTTGTTAGGGGCCGTTGAGTCTGTTCCGACTCACAGTGACCACATGCACTAAAGAACAAAGCAATACCCGGTACTGTGATGTTTGAGTCCGTTACTGCTGTGTTAATCTGTCTCGTTGGAGGTCCTTCTTCTTTATTACTGAACCTCCACTTCAGCAAACATGATGTTGTCTTTCTCTAGGGTCTGGTACCTCCTAACAACATGTCTGAAGTATGAGAGATGAAGTTTCACCATCTTCTAAGGAGCATTCTAGCTGTATGTCTTCCAACACAGATTTGTTTGCTCTTTTACAGCCTATAGTAATTTTAATATTCTTCACCAAAACTATAATTCATATACATCTAAACTTCAGAGGTCTTTATTCATTGTCCAACCTTCACATGTTTATGAGGCAATTGATTATACCCTGGCTTGGGTCAGGGTGTAATCAATTGCTCCCTTACACCTCAAACTGATATCTCTGCTCTTGAACACTTCACACTTTTACAGCAACTTTGTCTAATACAATGTTTTTGTTATTAAGTGCTGTTGAGTCAATTCTGACTCATAGTGACCCTGTATAGGGTTTCCAAGGAGCAGCTGGTGAGCCTAAACCTGTGACCTTGGAGTTCAAACGATTTTTCATCCTGATGTATTAGCCCACAACATCACATCAGGACCCCACCTAATACAATACATTGTTATATTTCTTTTTTTGAGGGGGCTTTTAATATGTTCTTTCTTTTTTAAAATTTTTATTGTGAATTGAGTGAAAGTTTACAGGTCAGATGTCAGTTTTACATTCAACAAATTATATACTTTGTTTCATTACATGACACAAAATCCCCACCATGTACCATCAGTTAACAGTATTTCTCTATATTCATTTTAGCTTTAAAAAAAACAAAACAAAACCAAAACAAACACTCAGACGTTTTGTAACAAAAGGAGGGGAGTGATTGATTTTGCAGCCCAGGGACCATCAAGGGAGAAGAGTGGAGTGTGGGACCTTATTCAGAGAAGCAGTGACACCAGATATGGAGGCAGAGACGATGATGTGGAGAGATGAAGCGGCTGGGGACTGTGGACTCAGGGAGAGAGAGGGTCCGTGTGCTGATGGCCGAGGGGTAGGCTTCGGGGGTATACCCTTTGGTTGTTTGATGATGCATGCAGGGGACTGTAATCATTGCAATGAAAGTAAATAAGATAGGATGAATGTAAAGCTAATGTTCTCCCATGTAAACTGTCACATAATTCACAATAAAAACCACCACCACAACAAAATAAATTAAAAAAAAACAAAAACCAACACAAAAAAAACAACAAAAAACACTCAGGCATATATAATAATTAACACCACCAAAGAGCACATTCTGCAAGCCCGCCTCCTGGACACAGGCTCTCAGTCCCTCTTTCCATGAATCTAGAGTCCTCAGCTGCTCCCTGTCTCCATGTTCCCATCTCTGCCACCATCTCTGGTGTCGCTGCTTCTCTGGATAAGATGCCACATTCCACTTGTGCTCTTTTCCCTTGATAGTCCTAGGGTCCTCTGTTTCTGGACTATAAGATTAGCTACTCCTCCATTTTTGTTACAAAACTTTTACCTTTATGATTGTGAAAGTCTGAATTAGTCAAGATAACAATACTGAATCTTAAGAATCTTACCCCATCTCTTTTTACCACACACATCAAGACAAGAT